AAAACTGCTTCTAATAACAGTCAATCGGTTTGTCAGATTWTATACAATCGTCAAACATCACTCCCAGATTCTTCAAGGTCTACAGTAAGGAGCCAAAAGTACCAAGTTCTTGAACAAAGGTTGGCCATATTTTAGCCCCAAACAAAAAGAAAAAAACATTCTGTTTTGTTTACATTCAAGGGTCTCTGTGACTGATAATTTAGCTGTTTCCATTCTCCCCACCTGATTCAAAGAATTAAATTACCTACTCCATGCCATCAAGTTTAGTAGAAGTCTGTGCCCTCTTTTTTAAAAGATTTTGAAAGTCCACAGCTTACCCATATGTATGTATCCCCTGAATTAGCTTAACATCTTAATAGATGAATGACTAAAATACTACAAAATATGCTGAAATTTGTAGATTGGATAAAAGGTACCAGAAAATATTTAAACGGTAAATTGTAAATGGACTGTACTTGTATAGCACCTTTCTACCCAACCAGGATACTCAAAGTGCTTCAAACTACAATCTGTGCCCTCTGTGCCCCTGTGCACTCTACAAGATCTCCTACAAAGCTAACATGTACAATCATCTATGGAGACTAATCAGTGCCAATCAYATTCATACACTGATGGGACACACATCAGAGGCATTAGGGGTGAAGTGTCTTGCCCAAGGACACAACAACTGAGACAGCTGGACGGGGGATCAAGCCGGTGACCTTCCGGTTCCAGGACGACTCCTCTAACCACTCTGCCACAGCCGCCCCACATTTAAAGGAGACCAATTATGGGTCCTGGAAGTTTTCATGGTATGTCTGTGTGCTATCCAGATCATGTTCGTTCAATTTAATGCACAAAATAATTCTCAGATGATAAAATTTCCCATTTTCTAGTTCTGCCTGCTCTGACTTCCGTTCAGAAGAGCTGTTTATGTTAATGAGCTCTGTTGGTAACGTCCTCCAAAAATCTGTTGACATTAACTCCGCCCTCCAAAAATCTGTTGACATTAACTCCGCCCTCCAAAAATCTGTTGACATTAACTCCGCCCTCCAAAGCCAGCGTTTATGTTAGCATGGCTAATAATAGCAGAAGCTCCATTGTACAACCGTATGTATGAGACCCTGAGTCAGACCCAGAGGCAGGGTTTTTCTACAGATAAATAAATAACCGCTAGGGTTTTGTTGCTTTTAGTGAGTTTGTTGTTCAATGCCAGAGTCGCGGTCGCAGCTTTTTTTTCTCCCCCTCCTCCTGTGTTGGGAGGGCAGCTCAGAGCTCACACTGCATGCCTGTTACCAGGGCAGGTAATGGGAGCAGCAGCGGTCAAAATACCTCAGAAACTCGAACAAACAGGCTAACGCTAAACACAATAGAAGTACATGAGAAAACGTGTTCATAGCGAATGATAATAAATAAATTGTTTGTGTCTGTGTCGGTCTACAACCCTGGTCTCCCGCTCTCTGGTCCAACACTCTACCCATTGCCCTTTGGAAGGCCACAATACACATT